TGTGGGTGCCCCGCAGCACCCATCGGACCACAATTACCCTGAGAAGGAGGCCTTCATGCTCAGGAACACAACCAGGGAGGGCTCAGGCCTGAACTGTCTTAGCCAGTTCCAAATACCTAAGCTCTTTCTTCACATCCTGTTGCCACCTTCAGGGTTCAGAGATCTCACCACTTGCCTGACAATTAGCACAGACACAGCAAGGGAAAACAGACCTGATCTCCTATCCAAGCAATTTGGCTAGGAGAATCTAGCTGCTCCCAACAAACAGCCGGCTAATGAAATCATCCCTGTAACAATGAAGTTGTCAACTAGCACTGACCAGGTCTTCATTTTTTGTCCCCAATTGATAACAATCATCACAATGACCAAGGTGCCTGGAAACAGCAGCATCCCCCTTACCACACAGTATGACCACGCATAAAACATTGCACGGTGTCTTACAGACTGTGTCCCTACAGCATTACCAAAAGCAAAAGAGCTCTGTAGCAGACCAGGCTCAGACACTTGGAAAGCCAGTTCTGTGACTCTGGCTTCCTTTGCACAAGTTCACTTTCTGCCTTAACTTATCCAAACTGGCAACTTGCCCCAGTTATGAGGCCCTAATTATGTCAGACTCTAGACCAGCTAACCAACAGGAGCTCCTAGCCCGATGGGCCAGCTGATCCTGCCAGTCTTTGTAGCAGCTCAGCAAGTACCAATTGCCAGAAAGCTCTGGAACTGTCCTGTTCCCCCTTATGCCAGCTGTACTGCCCCGGTAGTGGCAAGGTACAAGCCAAGCGCCTGGCTCAACTCAAGCCACTGCACTTAAGTTGTGCTCTGTCACTCAGCTTCCCAAAGCAGGGCAGAACCAGATGCACTAGAAGATTCCATCCACAGGGACCATAATTAGGTTCCCTGGAATATGTGGTTTGACTTAAAGCTATCCACGGAGACTTGGAAGCAGTTTCATTAGAGACTTCCCAAGTAGAGGCATTTGGATTCCTGATCCCTGCCTTCTAGGTACTCAATAGCCCCAGAAAACCCAAGTGAAGAACCTGAGGCCACCCTAAGACAGCCCAGCAGGGAAGGGAAAAGACCTAAGAGCAAAGAGCATGGGTGGAGGCCAGGGCCTCGGAAGCTCTTCTAGTCCAGCTAGTCGGAAAGATCCCTGCTCAGGGGCAAACATCCACCTCTGCCAAACATGCCAGGCAGAAAAGTCAGGGCAGCCTTCCTTTCCCAAAAGATCTCCCTTTGGGATTGGATCAGTCTTCCTGGCTACAGCAAAACCACAGGAGTGGTCTACATACTAGCTCTACTTCCAGAAAATTCTGTTTCCTTAAGAATCAAAAATTTAAAGCTTGTAGCAAATGGAAGAAAGCCTATGGAGGAAATAGGACAGACTAGGGGTGAGAAAGCTCTCACAAGGAAATAGTTTTTTTTTCCTTCGGAAGTGTGAATTTGAGGGGAATAAAATAATAAAGGGGCTCTCTGACTTATTTTCATGATCACAACTGACTTTGTTTCTACTGGGGGAGTCCATCTATTTTCAAATTAAACCTTTCACCAAGAGAAAACAAAAACTTAAAAGGCTACATAAGCTTTGCTGTTAAAATCAGGGATTCCCAGTGACACCCTTTTCTTTTTCTTTTGCAACATCCATTAATTCCACTTTTAACTAATACTGGTACATCAGTTTGGGGAGAAAAAAAAGGTAGTACTGTGACATTTCAAAAATAAGGATTATCAAGATAGCTTTGACTTAATTAGTGACTAGGCTTTGTGGACTTCACAGATGAGATTCCTTTGAGAACAAAAGAAAAAAAAGAAAAAAAAAAAAAAAAAAAAAAACCCAACAAACCCTTTGTGGATATGCCTGAGAGTGAGTTTTGGGGAAACATTTTCAAACTCAGTAAATGATTGCTACAATTTTCATTTTCAAAAGGAATTCCATTTCCTTTTAACATTTCATTTTTAAAATTGAAATAAACATTGTTCTACAATTTAGTAATTCTAAACACTTGGAATGGAGGTAAGGGTTATCAGTTAACATCCAGTTTCTGCTCAGGGCTCCTGGAGGGGGAATTTTACACAAGATGGGAAACTTCAAATAACTGCAATTCCTTTTCGGCTGGCCCAGAGCACTGGATAGCGTGTTGAGTTGGTGCTTTAGACGTTTTGTGCAGGAATACTGTTATTTTCTGGAAGCTTCTTCCTCGAATAACTGATTTTACACACATCAGACCACCACTGCACGGCAGTTAAATTGTGAATACATTACCAAAAATAAAACAAGTGGCTTAACTGAACTGCAGTTTACACGGTCCCTGTAGTATGTGTGAATGGGCATCACTTCTAAGGACAGACAGAAGGCAAAAGGCTCTTTTGGAGGGGGACTTAGGTTGTGTTAGAATTCCCTAAGAAAGTACATCAGGGACCAAAAGTGGGCCAGAGGGGAAAAATGGAACTTCCAACATATTTTTGTCTTTTAAGGAAAAACTTATGCTTGTAAAACACATCAGAAGTACAGTGTCTTGTCCTGCAAGTCATTTTTGTTGCTGGTTTTTGTTGTTTTGTCGTTTTTTTTCTTTTTAACTTGTATGTGTAAGATGGGGGGACTGGGAACTGGAGGTGTTCTCTCCAACATGACTGGGCGTGTAACACGTTTACATCAACTTTTCACGGTCAGGCATGTGCTTTCGAACAAAGAGCAGTGGAGACAGGCTGAGGTGGGCTGACAGTTTACAGATTTGGTGCTTAAACAGTACTTTACAAATGACTTGCTCAATTTAAATGTCCATTACCACAAGAAACATTGGGGTAAAATGAGGAAATTGGATCTACTTGAACCAGTCTTTTCTGGGGGAGTGGGGGCTTTAACTTGAATGTAGTATAAACCAAATTCAGTAAGCTTGTCTCCTACACATGGACTTGAAGAGACAAAGCAATGGACTGATTGGCAAAGAGGGATGCCAAGTGCCTGAAAACATTCTGGGCCTTTTCCATAGATTTTTGTCATGTTACAGTAACACTTTTTTTTTTTTTTTGAGAAAACTGTGTACGTCAAATTTTAAAATCATTAAACACTGAAAGGATGTGCAAGTCTAAAAGGGCTCAACAGAGTTAGAATCCTGATTTGAACATAATAAATTCACTCTCAAGCATCACTCTGGTCTAAAGGCGAGGAGGAAAGCAGGCAGGAAAGGGACAAAAAGAGGGAGATAATTGAATTACTCAATAAAAGAGGCTACTTACCATCCCAACCCATTGTAAGACATACACTTCTGACATAAGAGAACTCCTTAGAGGTCGAATAAAGCGTGTAAGCACCTTTGAGTAAAGCACCTGCCCCCAAGAGGGGCCCGGAAGCCCAACATGGGCTTAGAACAGACCTCGGCTAATCTGTTTATTTCCTTGAACTGGAGTCGGGCTGCGAAGGGCTGCGATTCCCAGGACGATACATTTAATTAGAACAAAACAGAAAAAAAAAAAAAAAAAAAAAAATTGTAAAAAGCTCACCAAACTGCTGCACCTGTGTCTTTGAATGTGGGTGGCATTTCTTTTAAAAGGCAAAGTAGGGTCTGTGAAGGAGAAAGGGAAAACGGGAGGTGGGAGTGGGGAGAAGGGGCTGAGACCCCCATCCAGGGGAGGGGTCCGGCTGCAGTTCCCCAGCGGGGAAGCAACGGGGCGGCCATCTGTCCAGAGCATTCTCTTTCCTTCCCCAACCTCTGCAAGACTCGCTTTTCTGCCCACCGAAAGCCACCTTTCCATTTCCAAAACCCACTCTTTAGCAGAGTCAGCCAACCCTGTACCCCAAAGCCTTCTGATCCAGCAGGGGGAAGGGGGCTCCAAACCTCGGTCAGAAAACGTGCCGGGCTGGCCCTATCACCCGCCAGTGAAGGACGTGGGGGAACCCATTTCAGTTAATAATGGGAAAGGGGCGCCCCAATCCGCGCCTTTCCACGGCACACGATCTTTTTTGCTCCCGTGTGAGGGATAGCGCCCCGTTTTACCCGGAAAGAAGGGCGAGTCCCTATAAGAAAGCGGTGGCCAATTTCCTCTCCCATGGAAGGTGGAAAAAGCCTCACCCTCCGCAAAAAAATTAAGTAAATAAATAAATAAAAGACTTAGGGTTAAGGTCCCTCCACCACTGTTACCGACCTACGAAAAGAGAGTTGACCCTAAAAACCACCAGGGTCTTAAAAAAAAAAAAAAAAAAAAAAAAAAAGCAGGGGCTTTCATCAAGAGAGCTGGAGATACACCCCCCCTCCCATTCTGCCTTCCAGGATTACTAGAAAACACCTCCCGCCAAAAAAATAAAGTGCATACGCGCCCCCATCCTAAGAAGCCCCGAATTAGAAGGCCCGGGCAAAAGCGGAGCGAACCCCCACTTTCTGCCTCGGTTAGACTCGGGTGCCTGATCCAGACAGAGCAGGGAAGACCTCCCCCAGGAGAAAGGATACTGCCGGGGACAAGAAGACCCCCAACTCCAAGCCCCTAAGAGCGGGGCTGTGAAGCTGGAGATCCCCCCCCAAAACAAGAGGGTCCGGGGCCCCTCCCCCAAAGCCTGCCCCGAAGCCAGGCGCCGGGCCGCTGACTGCCAGCTCCGGGCGCAAGGGCGGCGGAGGAGCGCGGTGGGCCTCGGCGAGCCCACCCCCTTGGCGGACCGTCCCCAGGGCGGGCGGACAGACGGACGGGCGGGCGCGGGGGTCCGGGGGCGCCTCCTCACCTTCCCCTCAGCATGGCGCCCAAAAAAGACAGAGCGAGAGCGAGGGAGAGCGGGCAAGCGCCGCGAGGGGGGGCAACGCATGAGGCCGGGAGAGAAAGCGAAGCGAGAAAGAGCTAGCAAGCGAGAGACACCCACCGACCCCGCCCTTCCTCCTCCTCCTCCTTCTCCTCCTCCTCCTCCGCGGCCGGGCCCAACATGGCGGCCGTCCCCTTCCTCCTCCTCCTCCTCCTCCTCCTCCTCCTTCCCCCCTCCCCCCCCGGGGGACGCTGCCCCGGCCCAGGCCGGGGGGCCTGACCTGTCGTCAGGGAGCGGGAGGTGGTGGAGGAGGTGCGGGGTGGCCGCGCGGCCGTCGGGGGAACACGGAGGAGGCGAAGGCGTTGATGGCGGCGGCGGCGATGGCGGCGGCGGCGACTCTGATGGCGACGGCGGGGGGGTCCCGGGCGCGGCCTCCATCGTTCCTTTAGGGGGGAGGGGATGTTAATGCACGAAAAAGGACTGCTTGGGCGTGGCGGGAGGGCACACTTAGCTCTCCGGAGCTCCTAATGGGAACTGGGTGTATATAGAGATAGGAATTTTTTTTCGGTTTCGGAATCACCTCTGAGCCGACCTCCGCGTAGGCCGCAAGGCCTAGGCCCCGGCGAGGCCGCCCGCCGCCTGCTTTCTCCGCGGCCCGCCCCTGCGGTCACTCGCTCAGGGGCACGGGACGCTCATGGGGGAGAGGTCCCCGCCCGCCACACATACACTCTCTCTCACACACACACGAACGCCCGCGGGCCCCCGAGACGGGAGACCCCGGGGACACGGACACTGGTGGGTGGTTGGGTGTAATTAGCGCGGATCGCGCGCAACGGAGCAAGCGAGGGGGAAGGGGGAAAAGCGGAGAGCGAGCGAAGGGTAATTTTAAAAAAAATTAGGGAGAGGAGGGAACGGGCTGCGGAGACGGGCCGACTGTCTCTCTGTCTTGTCTGTCTGCCCTAGATGCCCCGGCTACCCGGCCCCCGCCGCGGTCAGGAATTCACACAAAATGGCGACATGACCAAGACGAGCCCAGAGACTGAGGCAGGAAGAAGGGCGAGGAGGGAGGGGGGAACTGAGAGGACGAGGCAGCGTCACGTGGAGGAGAGGGGCAGAGACTGCCCGCCCGAAGGCCGGCGGAAAGAGCCGAAACGCAAGGGCGAGGCGGAGGAGAGGCGGAAAGAGCCGAAAGCAGCTGAGGAAGACCCGGGAGGTTGGAATGAACCGGAAACAGCCGAAGGAGGGTCTGGGCTATTGAAGCCATCAGAAGTCAACCAAAGAACTAAAGAACCAAAGGTGGTCGTGGGGGTGGGTCTAGAGAGGACCGGAAATTGCCGAAGCGGATCGGTATCGGAGGACTTGCGATAATCCGGAAAGAACCCAAACTGGTGGAGGGATCGCGGGCAGGAGGCGGAAGTAGCCGAAAGAGGTCGAGCGGGCACTAATAATGAGAGCGAGTGAGCCGAACGGGTGGGGCTAGAAAGGCGATTAAGTAACTGAGTAAATTACTAAGGGACTAGCCCCGGAGCAAGCGAGAAGAATCGAAAATTGCTAGTTTGAAGGAAGGCGGGAAGAGCCAAAAGTTTTAGGTGGGAGAATGGGAGGGAAAAAATTTAACCGAAAGCTGGAGATCGGTCCCAGGAGTCAGACGTTTCCGAAGAGGGGCTGGAGCAGAGGCGGCCGGTAATGACGTCACTATATACCTCGGCCGGTGACGTCGTCCTGGAGGCGAGTAGGGCGGGGCTTGGTACTGCGAGTGAGGTGGAAACTTTGGGGTGCAAAAAGTACGAAATGTTTTGTCCCTAATACTGGCGTAAGTTGATATTACTATACATCAGTTGTATAAATGTTGACTGACACGGAACACCGAATTGTCTCGGTGCGCTAGGCTTAATTGGTAGTGTGCGTGCCTGTAGCATTCACCAAACCCTGACCCCAGCACCACATACCACAAAAAACGTATTGCACTGGTCCGCACCTTTAATCCCAGCACTTGACAGGTGCGGGCTGGAAGAGCAGAAGTTCAAGGTCATCCTTGACCACAAAGCAAATTAGAGGCCAGCCTGAGATTAATGAGACCTTGTCTGAAATTTGGAATTTTTTTTTAACCAAAACCCCCATCCCCCTGACTCCTAAAACTGTTCAGTACATGGTGGGCAGCAGCATGAGCTTGCCTTTATACCTCTGACCCGAGTTGGAGCCTAAAGACCCACATGGTGGAAAGAATTGACATTCAAAAAGTGTCCTCTGACACATATGCGAATACAATAAATGTAATTTGTTTTGAGGGTTTTTTTTTTGTCTTTTTTGGGGGGGACAGGGTCTCCCTGTAGCCCCAGCTGACCTGGAACTCCCTATGTAGACCAGGCTGGCCTTGAACTCACAGAGATGTTCCCGCTTGTGCCTCCCGAGTGCTGGGATTAAAGGCGTGGACCACCACATCGGCATAATTTAAGTTTATTATTTTATTTTATTTTATTTTTTGGTCTTTTTGAGACAGGGTCTCCCTGTAGCCCCAGCTGTCCTGGAACTCACTATGTAGACCAGGCTGGCCTTGAACTCACAGAGATCCTCCTGCCTCTGCCTCCCGAGTGCTGGGATTAAAGGCGTGCGACACCACGCCCGGCCATAATTTAAGTTTTTTAAGGAAATAAAATTGTTCAATCAATCCTGTTTGCACCCAGGAATCTAGGTTTTTATTCTTTCTACAGTGCCAGCCTCTGTGGTGCGGGCACAACATTTTCATGGAGCTTGCAAATGAAATTTGTTCTAAAGGAGAAAGTGGAGACTAAAACACAAAGGGGGTTGAGATCAGGAACGAGGATTATTGTCAAGGAAGAAGAGAAAGTTCCAGGGAGAGCAAAGCAAATCTCTCATTTCAGCTCTTGAAGAGGCTGGTATCACTTAGATTCCTAGAAGAGAGAATACCTGTACCTTGATGGGAAAGTCATGATGGTCAGGGCCCTCCTGACCTCCTGAAACCCTAGTAAAGGAAATGGAAAAAAGCCATAACTCACCTGAGATAGTTTTTTTGAGGGGGGTAAGGGGTTGGCTGGCTGTATTTTATGACCTCTGTCAGGGCAGGCATCAGTATTCCTGGAAATATTCCCAATAATATGCTTGAAGTTTGATAACATTAAACTTGTTCTGGAAAACTAGTGGTCTATCCAGTTTGAAAGTTAACTGCTTGTGAAGAGCCTCCAGATCTTTAACCAGAGTATCCTTTGGGATGCAATCCCTAATCTAATACAATGTTCCTACAAGAGCAGATCTACTTTTAACTACTGGGCCATCTATCTCTCCAACCCCTTTCACAGAGATCCACCTGCCTCTGCCTCCCAAGTGCTGGGATTAAAGGTGTGAGCTACCACGCCTGGCTCCAGCCTCTTTTTAAAATTTTAATTTAATATGTATCTGCATTGTAAGCCTCAGTGGGTCAGATCCCCTTGAGCTGGAGTTACAGGTGCTTGTGAACTGCCCAACACGGTGCTGGGAACCAAAGTTGGGTCCTCTGGAAGAATAATATAAGCAGACCAAGCTCTTAACCATTTTTTGTTTGGTTTTGGGTTTGGGTTTTTTTTTTTTTTTTTTTTTTTGTTTTTGGGTTTTTTTTTTTTTTTTTTGGTCTTTTTGAGACAGGGTCTCCCTGTAGCCCCAGCTGTCCTGAAACTCACTATGAAGACCAGGCTGGCCTCAAACTCACAGAGATCCACCTGCCTTTGCTTCCCGAGTGCTGGGATTAAAGACATGCACCACCACACCCGGCTTGGTTGTTTTTTAACAGGGTCTCTGTAGTCGGGAATGACCTGAAAGTCACAATGTGAACGAGGGTAGCCTTGATCTCTCAGAGATCCACCTGCCTCTGCCTCTGCCTCCACCTCCCAAGGGCTGGGATTAAAGGCGCACACCACAACAGCGGGCAGGGATATGGTTTTAACTTCCCTCCAGGAATTATCAGCAGTCTTTGGTTGGTTTCTTTAAATAGCTAATAGCTGATTAAATGTCCTCATTTCTTGTTTTGTTTCCTTTGCTATATAACTGAGGTTCTAACTTTTTTCTATTTTTTGAAGTATCTTGCCATGCAGAAAAACACACAACCACCTGGCTTGGTGGACAGGCTTGCACTGCAATCCCAGCACTCAGGAGGCTGGAGCAGGAGGATCATGAGTTCAAGGCCATACTGGGCCACAGATCAGTCAGGAAAGAAAGGAAGGGAGTGAAAAAGGGAGAGAGAGAGGATAAGAGAGGAAGGAAGGAAAGAAGGAGTTGGGGGGGCGGTTTAGAGAGATGGCTCAGTGGCTAAGAGCACTTGCTGCCAAGGCTTACTACCTGAGTTCAATCCCCAGAACCAAAGAGAGAAACCCCTCCAGAAAGTTGTCAACACACACACACTTTGAAGGAGGGGTGGGTCTAACTGATAATTCTAGCACTTGGGAGAAGATACGGGAAGATACAAGAGTTCAAGGTCACTCTTGCTTACAGTGAGTTTGAGGCCAGCCATCCTGGGCTAGATAGTAAGATCTTGTCTAAGCAAACAAACAAGACTCCTTCTGGAAGCACTATTTGAAATAGTCCCTAGCTAGGAGCCACCTACAGGTACATGGATTAACAGAGAATATGCACTGTACTGTATTCCCCATCCCTATCTGCTGTACACATTTTGGGAACCCTGAGTCTCCTGGTTTATGAGACCCAAGCAGCAGAACCATTTGGAATGCATCCAGGACCAGATGGAGAACCTCCCCTTGCGCTGGGCCGCACTAATCTCAGAGATGATGAGTGAAGACAGGCATTTCAACCATAATCCAGGCTGCATACAAGAAAGGCACCAAACAGCACAGCCTTTTTGTTATGTGTGTGAAGGTGAGGGAACAAGTCCCTGCAGCTTGCTTTGTATTTTATATTATAAATAAATGTATTTTAAATATAAATATGTTATTCACACAGGGTCTCCTTCTATAGCCCAGGCTGGTCTCAAATTCCTAAACTTCCTCCCTTGCTAGTACTGGAATTGACAGCTTCGAGCCACTGTTTCTAGAAAAATGTTTTCTTAGGACCTTACATGTGCTAGGCAGTAGCACTGAGTCACATCCCCAGTCCAATGAATTTTTGTTGTTGTTGTGGACTTTTTTGAGACAGGGTATACTGGATAATTTCAGTTGCCAATTTGATATGCCTGGGAAGAGGGGGCCTCAACTGGGGAATTTCCCCTATTAGATTGACCTATGGGTATGTGTAGGAGACATTTTCTTGATTATTGAGTGATGTGAGAGGGTTCAGCCCACTGTGGGCATGGGCAGGCAATGCCACTCCTGGGCAGGTGGTCATGAGTTGTATAAGAAAGCAAGCCGGGGGCCAGGCGTGGTGGTGCACATCTTTAATCCCAGCACTAGGGAGGCAGAGGCAGGTGAATCTCTGTGA